CGGTCCCGCCGAGCCGCCTGCCCTGCTCTGCCGGGGTGCGGAGAGGTGGCTCCGGCAAGGAGGGCCGGGCTGCCTTGTCGCACCGCAGCGCCAGGCGGCACGGCCACCCCAGCCAGGCAGGATGAGGGCTTGCCCACTGGGCAACCAGGAGACCGCATCTGTCCCCAGCCACAGCCTCGTCCCTTCCCTTTCCATATGCTTCTGCCCAGCCGCCCCCTCCACCAGCATCCAGGGAGCTCAGGAAAGGATAGCCCCCAGGAATACATTGAGGGCGACAGAGCCCTGGAACAGGCTGCCCGGGGGGGTTGTGGAGCCTCCTTCTTTGGAGATATTCAAAACCCACCTGGAAGATGTCCTGTGCAACCTGCTCTGGGTGACCCTGCTTTAGCAGGGGGGTTGGACTGGATGATCTCCAGAGGTCCCTTCCAACCCCTGCCATTCTGGGATTCTGTGAATACTGCCACAGGATGCAGCTGTGCACATCACTAGACACGCACCCCTTGCACCTACCCAATCGTGTAGAACTAATGGTGCTCCTTGGACCATTTCTCTACTGGAGCAATAAGACGAGAACACGGCCAGACGAGGAGTTAATGATACTACAGGTAAGGCTGGAGACCAAAGGTTCTTAATTTCCCATCACATGCTCAGGCTGTTACAATGTGAAGTTGCAGACAACTTCTTAAGTTCTCTCATCCATCAATATCCAGGACCACCAAACAGGCCTCCATGGGAATTTCAATTAGAAACTCTTAGTACACAAATAAGCCAAAATAAAAAAAAATCAAGGTCAAAATATAAAATCAAAATGTGAAATATTACAGAATTTGTCATGGGCAAGAATGATGGAGAACTTGTATTTGTTTCCATTGAGACACAGCCTTGAGTTCTACTACTCCTGGCTCCACAAGGCAATAGAATAAAAATTAAAATTCTCAAACATGTTACAGTTTTTGCTTACCTTCATGTCCCAAATACTATGGATACAGTCTGCCTCTCCCTAATCCCCCAGTGAGGTAATACAGGCCAGCTAAATCCATTCTTTCAAATAGTATCTCAAGTCACACGTATAAACAGTTAAAAGCACCATGTGATGGCCTTCTTCCTGAAAATGCTTGTCGGATTTTTCCATCTTATCATACAATGAGCAAAAATGGCCAATTTGGTCTGATTGGGACCCATAAATTCCCAGAAATTCTTTTTTTAAGACAACAATAAAATATAAAAACATTGCAAAATACATTATTGCCCATTAAAGTTCAGAAGAATAGAGTTTATGTTTCCCTGCCCAGAAATAAATGGAGATGGAGATCTCAAACTACAAACAGCTTGCACCGTGCCCATCTTGCCTAGCCAAATTTCTTCACCCATCTCTCCTGGGATTGTTTTTCTGTTTGAAAAGCAGCAATGAAGTTGGTACTTCCAAGACCCTGTAGTCTGGGAGGTAGAAGTTAGATCGCCAGGTAGATCGAAGGTAGGTCGACAACAGGCATAGACGAGTGCTCCTGCACCAGTACAGCTTGACGGGCACGAAGTGCCACATGGCAGTTTTGTACTCTTAGCCCCCTGCTTTGCAGCAAGCATGTTAAGCATCGGTATAAGCAGGACAGATATGTCTGTAGCTCAGCCCTGTACGTATTTGTGTGCTCCTGATATGAAAATAAAGTAAAGTAGTGGCTTCTGTGGAATGAGGTGATTTTGCAGGGTTATGGCTAAGTAGGATGGTGACTTCAGGTATCAGAGGAGTGAAAACTGGCAGCAGAACTAAGCTTTTCATACTGACTGATGATCAGCCTTCTTAATTTCCTATTACTAATCAAAACAGAGGGAGTGACCAAAATTGTCCCATTGCAGCCTGTGCTGTGGGTCCTGGCTGGGGAGCCACTGCTTTCTCAGGGGGGAGCAGGCCCTCCACAGCTCGTAGCCCTGAGCCAGAGATGTGAGAAGGCAGAGGGGGGGTTAATGTTGTCTTCATCAGGGCAGTAGCTCTTCCTCTCATCAACAGTTTGCCAATCAACCAAGCTGGGCTTGATAGAGTCTGATATGAGACTGAAAACAAAAGCTCCAGGTGCAAGCATCACATTGGGAGTGTTGCGTTGCTCAGAGGCTCTGCGTTGCTCTGGCTCTTCAAAGGCTGCAAAAGACTGACTAACCAAAGTATTGCCGTTGGCTTTGCTCACTGGCTTCAGCATTTCTGAACGTGTTTTGGAGCCTGTGTTTGTTGTAAAACCCCGGGCTCCTGGATGCTTTGAGACTCAAGAAGACAAATACTCTTTTTGCCCCAAGTGAGTAACCAGCATTCCCTGTTCATCTTCAATGGGTTTAAATTCAGAAGCATTGGTATAACAGATATGCAGAGATAAAAAGACAGTCTGCATCTCCATGTGCTGTGACAATTGCAATCCACCCATGGTTATCAAACTCCAAACAGTGCGAGGAAATTATGAAAAACCTCTCCTGGATAGGGGAGTATGTTGCTGGTTGGCAAATGAAGTGTACAGTAACCAAACCCTCAAAGCCTCCTGCTACAAATCCAGAAGCATACTCACGTGTTGCACTGATTTTTCACTAAAGACCAACTCCAGACAACTTTGCTGTAAATAAAGAGGTGGACATTTCAGTAGCAGCATGAAAGGTGGTAGAAAGCAAGTAGCAGCAAGATCTCTTCCTCTTTTGTCATCTTCTCTTAAATTTCCTCTTATCTTGTGCAGCCTTCAGTGATAGTTACTATATACTTTTATTACATTATTCACAATTCTTTCTGAAAAACATTGGGAACTTTTTTTCTTTGTACATGAAAACAGTAAATGTCATCTTTCCAACTAATCAAATCTGGTGAAATATCAGTGATATAAAAGCCTTCATATTTAGGAGACAAAAGTAGTAAATCAAAATAACTATAGATGGGAATTAATAAAATAGGATTGGGTTTGGGGCACCTCAGTCAAATAAAACTGTCAGTGAAAATCCTTCAGTTAAATGCCATATGGTTCGGCCCATAATTGTTTGAGACAAAAAAAGACTTTTGAAGTCACAGACATTGACAGTGAGTCCTAAGGCACCCATTGCCATGAAGGGTTAGAGTTACTGGCCTCCACTGCTTCCAAACTAGCAGTCCTGCAGGGCTTGCTTCTCCTCTGGACTTAGTGTTATTCCTGCCAACCCCACGAGCAACTTCTATTGATGATCCAACTGTACCAGATGAATGAGGTATTCAAATGAAAAAGCAGATATTCAGATGAAGGTAAGAAAGGAGGTTTAGGGTAGATGAGATTTACATCAGGCAGTATTGTACACTTTTTGATGCATACACATTGTTCTAAATATTATACGACCAAGGAAAAAAAAAGTAATGCAAATGATGAGTTTCAAGAGGCCAATAACAATATTGAGAGGTGAGCTGGGCAGGGGTTTCCTCCATTCTCAAGCTAGCCATATGCACAAAGCAG